CGGCACTGCACTCCAGTCTGGGTGACAGAGTGAGACTCCAACTCAAAAAAAAAAAAAAATTAGCCAGGCGTGGTAGCACATGCATGTAGTTCCAGCTACCTGAAAGGGTGAGGTGGAAGGATCGCTGTAGCCCAGCAGGTTCATGCTGGGGTGGCCGTGAGGGTGCATGTGCCACTGCAATCCAGCCTGGATGACAGAGTAAGAGTCCAACTCAAAAAAAAGAAAGGCATTCCTGAGACACTGATGTTTAACTGAAGCCCTGATGGTGTCACAACAGCAACAGGAAACACTCCCTGCAACACCAGGCAATAGGTGTTGTAACAGGCACTGTGGGAACACTACAGTGGGACTAATGAACGCCACCTGGGGAAGCAGATGAAGACCAAAGGAGAGCTGAGCTTCCTGAAGCACAGCCAGAAGCCCAGCAGACAAAAGGAAAACCCAGGCACACCGCACAAGTTCCCTGCAGGGTTCACATACCCAAGGGGCCCAAGTGTGACTAGAGGAAAACCAAGTGCAGCCAAGTAAACAGTACCCAAGTAACTGAAGAAAGAATACATCAGCTGAAAGAAGGTGGCAAAGAAGCAATAGCCCACCATGCTGGCAACCCTTCCCTCAGAAAACTCTTGGTGAAAGGGTTTATCTAAAGGTCAGCCCAGAGCAAGGACTCAAAGGAACTGGGCTGTGGAGTTGGGAAACCTCATTAGGCTTTTAGATGGTTAAAATGACAGCTTAGAACTCCCACTCTTTGCTAGCACACTTGCTTCAACAAGCCTTCATTTTCTCCTCTTAAAAATGAGGGTAAAAACCTCTCCTGCACTTGGAAACTCTGAGAAATCAATAACACAAAGTACATCAAGTGCTCAGCAAGGGGGCAAGGTTCCCCTGAATAGCAGCTGTTAGCTGTGGGGAGGCACAGCAAGTTCCTAGAGCTAGGAATGGAGGCTCTCAGGGACACAGAAACCCTACTGAACTTTACCTATTCATTTACTTTTCTATTGTGGAGAAGTTCAAGTGCTTAATGGAAGCAGAGAACAGTGCTGAGATTACAGGCATGAGCCACTGCGCCTGGCTAAGAACTTTAAAACAAAAAACAAAAAACCCGCAGTAGACTTTGGCTGAGGAAGACAAAAGGTAAACCAGTTAAAACTGTGACTCTGTCACCCAGACAAGAAGTGACCTGGTTGGTGGTGGTGATGAACATGAAGAAAAGGGTCTGATCTATAATATTTAGAGAGGAACAGGGTTTGGTGTCAGGCTAAGAGTTAAAAAAGATGTTTAAGGTTGGGCTCGGTGGCTCAGCCTGTAATCCCAGTGCTTTGGGAGGCCGAGGTGAGTGGATTGCCTGAGCCCGCAGGTTCATGACCCACCTGGGC